AATATAAGTTTTAAAATTTGAAAACTTCAACTAAATACACTTTAACTTTTCAACAATTAATAAAATACATTATTGAACTAAGAGTACAGAAAAATAGTAAAAAAAAAAAAAACATAAGAAAAATGCCAATGACTTCTAGGTAACATATATACACGTATTTCCCACTATTCCTGATGTTATAGAAAGCTGACGGATTGTAGGTATTGTGTTTTATCATTATTACTGCGACGAATTGTATGCTGTCCTATTATTACTGCGATTATAATAATTACTATTAACTCTTTTGTTATTAACAATACAGTTTTTTTGTATTTGTAATGCTAGTATATTGTGCAAGAAAAAAGACAACAATGATGGCGATTATTATATTTTTTATTGTTTTTTCACAAAAGCATTGTATGCTTCTTTGGAATACTTCCATAGCTGTTTTAGAATTTTTGTACACACCCATAGTGTATGTCTATGTTTATGTGTGTATATACATATATATATATATATATGTATATGTATATGTATGTACATGCACGTAATAGTACGTACGCGGTGCATTCCTCCTCCTCCTCCTCTCGGCAGCCAGCCGCGAGTTTCTTCAGGTAGATATGTACTTACTTAATGCTGTTGCATTACGTGTTATGTGCATCGGAGGAGAGAGAAAAAAAAAAGGAGCAATCGCGTGTGAGGTGTGTGTGTGTTTTATACCTTATAAACGATATTACGCGTTTCCAATCGTTTATTTAACATTGGGCCAGCACCAAAGGGGGGAGGTGAGTCATTTTTATAATTTTGGAATTTGTAGGATGATTCCGGAATTTGGAATTTTGCCAAATAAGTGAATCGAAATGTATTTTTGTTTTTTTTTTTTTTGTTTGGACCGCAAAATTAACAATTACAACATACACGTGCTTTCATATCAACGGAGCATTTTAATCGTCTACGCTATTTTCACGTACGATTTACATCGTGCACGTAAACTGAACTAAAGCTGAAATTCACAGGTGAGCAAGAGATGAGATGCGATTAGATATGAAATTATACGCTTGAACATACATCTGTTGATACATGGGTGTGCTCATTCATTATACTTGTAATACTTCATAATAGTATAAGGTTCAGCAATAAAGGATTCGCAGAGCATGTAGAGGTATTTCTTTCTTTTTGTCTTCCAGTAGGTACAGGCGTGCTTTAATTTGATTTTTCATTAAAAATTTTTTACGCGCTTACGCGAGTATTGATGTTGTTATTATTATTATTATTATTGTTTACACTACCTGCCTTTTCATTCCAAAAGGTTTACTTAAAATCCGCACAAGAGAGACGAAAATTTTTACGATCCAGCGCGGAAATATGAAGAAAATCGGCTTTTTCAACTCCTCCGTTTACACATGTATAATACCTATACTTATGTATACAAACAAAAGTTATAGGTACGATGCACACCGTGATGCGGCAAATAAAAAAATTTACGTTCACGTTTAGCTCATATTGCGCGAGCAATGTATACCCTCACTTTTTAAGTATAGTATTGGTTTTCGTAAAAATACTCAACTATTGTCTACAAGATATTATACATACCATTCGTTATTTCATGCAGTTGTACGCGCTCAGAAAAGCGCTTGGTTGATTAATCATTGATTTTTACGGTTGTTCGATTAACCCTGTAACTCGGATCAACTGTGCGGATGTTATTTTACAATTTAGCCTGAAACAATCATCGAGAGGAATAAAGCGCGTATAAGATAACATCTCTCCTCTTCTATCATCGACTGTATGTGTGTACCCTTTGAAAAATTGTAAAACTAGATCAGGGGTAAGCGTAAAGGAGCAATGAAAAAAAAAAAAAAAAAAAAAAGAAGAAGAGACTCTGCCTCCTTCTCTCAACATGTTTATGTATGTATATAAATATATAAAATACACGTCACGTGCGCCTTGAGAGAGGATGAGAGGCAATAAGGAGGCGAGTGGCCAACTGAAATACCGTTACGCGAGCGGCATATATGCATACTTGGGTGTATGTTTGCATCTTGCTACATCTTATATCGTCCTCTCTAATAATTATCACAGCGAGTCGCGAGAGCGTTTCTTTGCTTTTACTGAAACTTTTTTTTTCTTTTTTTTTGTACATATAAAAGATCGGGAGAGCCTTTTTTTCTACATCGTTCGTGCTTCTTGAGAATTCAAATACGATTACACCGTCACGATGCGATTTAATGCACTACAATGTTAGGTTTAAGTGTTTATATGGGTAATAGGCGTGCTGATGATGGTGTAATCGATTGTGTGTCGGGGGGGGGGGGGATACGTACTTGTACAGAATATCTTAATTTCTTTCTCTTCCATATTGGCTTTACTTTACTAGCATAATTTTAAAATGCTAAGTATTATATATATATATATATATATATTTAATTGTTTTGATTGATTTTTACTGAGCATATACAGGCTTGTGATCTATTGTACCAGACAGTAGGTTTGCAAAGTTACGAGGAGAGCTGATCATGGATTTTTTCCTACTTCATACACACACTGTTTGACATTTAACACTTTACTAATCTTGAGAGTATCATTTATGTATTTTAATGTTGAAAAAAAGAAATAACAATAACAAATAAAAGTCTTTCAAACATAACATCTTATTGTTATTTTTTAATTTAACATGAATATTTACAAGCGCTTTGTAGTTTCCACTGTGCAAGTACATACGAANGAGGTGGAGGGTGTCGGAATTATCGCATCCGTCAAATTGTCAAGCCTTGGATGAAACGGAGAGAGAGGCCGAGATGGCGCGTGTTAAGATCCGAGAAAGCGCGCTTGCACCCATAATTTATTACGGATAAGCTTAGGCCTTTGGCGCTGAAATAAATCACGAACCTTAAACTGGCGGCGTTTCATAAACAAAAGGATCGTGTTCGTATATCTTTTATTCTATACCCCTCAAAGTTATACTCTGTCGACATATATACCAATGCCGCCTTTTTTGGTGAAGCCATTAGAAAAATCTCTTGGGCAACAGATTCAATGTTATTGGTAAGGAGAAAATTTCAAGTTCAGTAAAGAGAGTGCCCATTTTTCTCCTTTGGTAATTTTTGATCATGACTTGTCATGTATACTATAGCGCACCAAAGTCATCATTCATCGACGAGACTAGCAACAGCGCATTCGTCATGCGACGTCGACATTTTCGACAGTTCTCTTTCTCAAAAATGTTCAACCCACACCGAATCACCAAACAAAAAAAAAAAAAAAAAAAAAGGCATTGCGAGTATAATACTGAAATGTCCTTTTTGTGTCGCACCGTGATAAGTATACACGTTTGGGAGCATCGCAAACAAGTTAAGGATCTCAAAAAAAAAAAAAAAAAAAAAAATCGGCAACAGCTTTGTCGTAATCGTCGATGAACTCACCTGCACCGGCTACTTTCCGATATATGTGTTTGCGTGTATACAGGTATACTTATTCTGTTATGCTCTCGCGGACGCGGCTACGTTGTGTACACATCAGATGTACAGGTATAATATATGTACAGTTCCACGACTTTCCTCTTGGCCTCCTGAAATAGGCCAAGCCTCGATTTCGATCTTTCACTCGGAGGCTCTCTTAATTCTTTCTTCTTCCCCTTATTTTCTCTCTCTCTCTCTCTTTCTTATAGCGGTATGTTAGTAGGTATATGTACGGGTATTAACAGAGACTCTTCACCAGGGAAAACCGAGGCGAAGGAAAAAAAAAAAAAAAAAAGAAGGCATACGTATTTGAATATATATGTACCAAACCAAAGCTCCGACGATGTGTTTAAGTGTAAATATCGTAGGTGTAAACTGTATTATGCCACTCGCGCACTTTGGCTCTCCTGTATATATATACTTGAACCGCGGACGCGCCGAAAGAAGGGAAAAAATCGGTAAAGTATCGCGAAGTACCGCGACCGCGAGTGCAATACAATGTATAGGTACGCGAAGCGCGTCGCTTCGCTTGAAGGTTCAACCACTCAAAATGTTGGGTTTACTTATAAGTTAAGCATTGGAGTTTCGAGTGCGCGGTTTCTATTCCGCGCCGCGGTGGTAGCACGACTGATGGGCGCTCGGTTGAACCGAGCACCGCGTGTATAGGGGGGCTCTCTCGTCGCTTCGCTTGGCTGAATAAGGCTCCTTTACCGCTGGGCACGGCTCTTTCTTACTTTTTCTTCTTCTTCTTTTGTTTCGCGCGAAACGGGCCCCTCTTCTCTCGCGCGAGCGTACACACACATATATATGTTTTTCCTGCTGAAAAACACAAATCGCTCGGGGAAAACCCGGAGTTATTTTCTAGCGCAAACCGATTGCACTCGACGCTCGAAAGTCAGCATGGACAGTGGCTGTTGATAATTCATTTTTGTTTTCTCGCAATACATCGAGTTTTCGAAGATATGTGTAGCTTATAAATTAAAAATACACGAATTTCGCGCGAGTAAGCAAAAATAAGAAAACCGTACACAAACAAAGAATCGTCGCTATGTATACCTACTCTCTCTCTCTCTCTCTCGCGTCACGCAAATAATATAAAACGCATGTCTGGGTGCGCTTGCCATTGGTGCACCGTGAGTATGTATATAAATCGCAATGACCAAACCGATCGAGCGAATCGTTTATAGTTTGCGTGTGTATCCCGCGCAGCTCTCGTCCATATATACCTACGCATACCGTAGGAAATCGCACACCCACGCAGGACAAGTGTGTAGGATACGCAACGCTCCAACGCGCGTGGGTGCGCATCGAAGGTGCTCGTACAAGCCGGGTGACCTCGCGTTGCATATTACGCTGTGGACGGTAGCATTGGCGCGAGAGAAAGTGAACTATCTGCCGAAAAATCGGCTTTACGTGTCCCCTCCACAGTGGTACCAGTGATCGGCGCCGGCTGGACAATACACACAACGCAGCGAGAAAAAATTTGTTATTGTTGGGCGCGTGTGTATAATATATGCTTTTGCTTTCGAATTTTTTGTATAGCTGCACCAATTGATGAAGAAAAGATCGGTACCGTTTTTGGAGTGATTATTCAATTTATTCTTTTGGAAATATCGAGAAATCACAATAGGTCCCTACGTTGTATCATATAAGAGTCACGGAAATGTTAACCAACCACAGAGTTCGCTGGAGCAAAGCTACGTATAATATACATAGGTACCGATTTTCTCCTTTCTCCACCCAGTGGATATCCTCCTTAAAGCGTTTACTCGGCAAAAATCGGCGAAAACACCATGACGGCATGTCATATCATCGCTTGCGAGCTATATAAAGAAGAGGCGAAAAAAAAAAACAAAGAACGATTTTTGTCGCGCGATAATCAGAGCAACGCGCTTGTTGTTGATGGGCCGATGTATACAATTTATATATACATATTTTCAAGTATACACGGGTGTTAACATCTGCGTCGCGAATTCCGTTGAAAATCCCGGAAGAAAAACTATAAATACACATAATATGTACGTATATTATTATATGGGCACGATTTTGCTCGACCGTGCAGCCTCTGTGCCAAAAGTTTTTGATTCTTATTATTCTTGTCGTGTTATTGTTACAGGTACCAAAGAAAAGGGACGTGCCGATCGGCCGATTGTTTGCTTCGCTCTTGCGACCTTACATTGAATTCTGGATGATTGAATTGCGCGTGTAATTTTCTCAAAAAGTTGCTCAAACGATCGGCGGTGGCGAGATGAAATTTTAACTTTTGCGTGGTGTAACCACGAAAATCGGCAAGTTTAGAGCTTGAGATGTAAATACCACACGCAGAGAGTAAAGGAATCATAATGTTGACTCCACTCTTAATGTCAAGAAACTCGAAAAACTTTTACCCCGATATGGCAATAATTTTAATATTTTTTGACGATCGGTATTCGCTACAAACATATATTGTTGAGCGTTTTGAAATTACAAGCTACACAATTTGACCTTCGCTCTTACGCATCACCTTTTCGAGAGCTCGCCGACGAGTCTTAGTCATGTTGCTTTTGTATACCACCGTCACCGGCTCATTGGATCGGTTCAGATCGGTACGTAAAAACAAAAAAGAACCTCGAGTTTGATCAACACAAGTTCCGCCTACACTGTTTCGGAGTCCTTTTTGGTGCACATTGCACGCGCAGATATAAACGTATTATTATTTATTCGATCGGATTACGCTAGAGGTATACATAGACGGGTTTTCCCGGCATTTAAACCGATGCGACCTGAGACTCGATTCTACCTATACTCCCTCACCTACGAAGCAAAAGAAGCGCGGCGCGTAAAACGAAAGGAGCGTAAGTACACACTATATAATGTAATGTATATATCTGTGTAATGCGCAGCAAAGGAACACACTCTGGAGCACTTCCGCTCGTTAAAATATAGAAAACCCTCGTTCGAAGCGTGAAATTGCACGCAATCGTCTATACCGTAGCTACTAAAAAAAAAAAAAAAAAAAGAAACAATTGAATTTCAAAGAAAAGGAGCAACGATCGAAAGTTCATCTAGATTTACTCGGTTTTCTGGGAGAAAGAAAAAAGAATAACCGTGAGAATTAAAAATCCTTCTCCAAGTTTCACACCAAGTGATTATCGTAAAGTGTACACGAAGCAATTCAATCCTGTTGTATCGAGCAAATCAACGAAAAACGTAGGAAAATATTTTTTTATGGTGCGTGCAACACGTACAGCTTATTCATATTATACAAAGTATACGTTACAAAGTAATGAAATGTTAAAAGATACACATCAGCGCGTTTAAGGAGTACACTTTTAAGTAGTGGATCGAACAGTTATAAATACCTCAACACCGTATTCTTACGTGCACGTGTACATTTGTAATTTGTTACGTAAGGGTGTATAATTAAAAAAGGTTTCACGTGTACGATTGACAATTTGAAAACACATCCGAGCCATTATACCTAATGGTGGGAAAAATCAAAATGTGCTACATAATAAAGTCTTTGAATGACGAATACTCTTACATTATGCATAAAGAAACGTACTTTTGTACAACGAAACTACACGTGCTACATATTTTATACATGTATCAGTATTTACACGATTGTCATATTCATACTCGGTTGCATTGGATAACGAGGATCATTACAGTCACCGTAAGTGTGATTCGATATGTAACAGATGTAAGAATGGCATCCCAAGTCAAAGTTTGGACACATGCCACAACGAGTAGACGATCGCGTAATCATTTACGTTAAATAATGCATTGGTCGATTTGTGTCCGCACGAACGATACGGCATCGTTTTGTAAGTAAGTATATCGCTTGGGCCAATATGTGTTGCGGCAGTAACGGTTTTCCGTACGTTTGACTTGAAATTTTTTTTTTTTCTTTACCATGATTTATAAAATCATAATAATTTTCGAAGTCATCGAGTTATCGATTGCCCATTCGGATAATCACTTCGTCGTGGATTATTTCAAGTACAAAGTAGCTCATCACGTGGCTGGGTTTTCCTGCAACAGCGACGAAGGTGAGCGCAACTGTATATGGTCATTAGTGAAACTCTCGGCTTTTGTGATGTTTGAGACGATCTTTTTCTTTTGTAGATAATAATGATTTAGTGAAAAGTTTTAGCAGCGTCGACATTTTTTCTACGGTGGATAAGTTACGCGAGAATAAAGTGACGTTACACACGTACTTGTCGACGATGCATCGAAAGCTTGGAATATTTTTAGACTCGAGGTGCAATAGCGCCGAGGAAAATGAGAACCTCCTGGCACAGGTGATTTTCAATTACGCCTTTTCTCATGAAAATCTATTTTCGATTTTTTTGTTTCCCTCCCGATTTTAATTACAAATTGGGATTCCCGCAAATTCTTTCCTCGTCACAATTACATTGTGTGTACGAGTATGTGTACCGACAATGTCCTATACGCAATGCTTTGTAATCGCTACAGTAGGAGTGATGATTACTTAACAAGACCTTCGACGGATTCGGAACAAAAGAAAATTTTTATTATTTCCCCCTCATTAAGGTGCAAACAAATTTTTGCGATTCATCGCTACAATTTTTTGCAGCTGATGAGTGCAATACTTTGTATGGATGTTGTCACGTGTGCGTTATGCATTAGACCACAGAAACACCACATAACGTTATTAAAGTTTATCTTAAAGTAATAATAAACAAATATTTAAATGGTTTTTATCAGTGCTTTAATTATTTTTTTTCTTTCACATGTTGCTGCATTGGTTTTGTTGGAAAAAAAAAATTTTTGTTTAGCACTATGTTATAAATGGTAATTTAAATAATTACTTTAGCACAATAATGCATTGCATGGTTTGGCAAAAAATTTTATTGAAAGAGAAAAAACATGATTTCGTGCGTACAACAACATCTGAAATTCTTAGGCATCAGAACTGCTTCTCTACGGCGAGCTGCACAATTGGCTAATTTTAGGAGACGATCTGAACGAAACGATCGAAATGTTGAACGACACCGAATTCAGTCTATCTACCGATCTCGTATTAGCCATTGCTGGTAACGACGGATTCGTCATGTATGACGTTTACAACTTGTGCAAGTATCGCCAGGGAATATTAAACGTCACGTTGTTGGGCCATTGGAACAGCACCAATGGTCTCCACATTGTTTTGACCCAAACCAAACTCTCGAGGAGGTCCAATTATCACGGCATGCTGCTGCGCATGGCTGTTCTGGTACTTGGAAACGATTTTTTTTTTTTTTCTCGTTTGAGCATATTAACTCCATGATAAAAAAATAATGCGCTCAATACTTGTGAGGTGTTTGATAAACCGAACGAGACATCGATGTACGACTACCTGCACGACTACGCCGGAAAACAAAACGATACCATGCCGAAATTCACATTTGCAGTGTGGGAAGCGATTGCCGATTTGTTTAATTTCACGTGAGTATGTGGAATCGGTGCTTGAGCGGTTGAAAAATATGTACGTATACAATATACATTCAATCGATGTACAGAATAGAACTGAAGCCGTTCGAGTCGAAAAAGGTGGCAAACCGCAACGGACCGATCATCAAAATGATGAGCAACAGAGAAGTCGAATTGATCGTCAACACGGCTATTTACACGCCGGAGCGAATAGACGTCGTTTCCGCGAGTCCCGTATGGCCACTCCGGTAAAAAATGTCATAAAATCGTCTTGGTAGTATTTGGGAAAAAAAACATGATTAATTTTCCATTTTAGCACGTGTTTCATGTTCCGCACGACGCCGTCCAAGAAGATCAAAGTCAATCACTTCCTCAGACCCCTGGCCAGCGCGACGTGGTACCTGACACTCGTCTTCACGATCGCGGTGGTGTGTGTCTTCGCCTCCGTGCTGGTCGTCGAGTGCGGCAGCAACGATTTCCAACGATACTCGGACGCTATTTTGTTTGCAATCGGCAGCTTGTGCCAACAAGGTACCTGTATGTAGAAAAAAGTGGTTTCCATGAAAAATGTACGATCGTTTTAACGGTCGCAGGTACCGATCTGCAAGCGACGAAAGCAGCGACTCGCATAGCCCTGCTGCAAACGATGGTGTTCAGCCTGTTGCTGTACAACTACTACTCGGCCAGTGTGGTGTCGGCCCGGCTGAGCGAGCCCCTGGAAAAAATCAACGACTCGCTGAACGAGCTCGCAAAGACCGATTTGAAATTCGGAGCCGAGCCGATACTCTACTTCAATTTTTACATCCAGGTGAGATCGTCTCATATGTATCTTTGTTTGGGCGCTCCCACGCGTAATAATTAAACAAGTTTGGCTCGTTGTTGGTTATACTTTTTGTTTTTTTCAGAGATCGGATTGGGAGGGCCAGCAGTTTTACAATCGGAGGTGGGTCAAGATACCCGACGACGAGAAATTCATGCCGGCCGACGTGGGCGTGAGGCGGATTTTACAGGGTGACTTTGCGTACCACATTGACGTGAACGTGGCGTTCCCGAAAATCGAGAGGCTCTTCGACAACCAGCACGTGTGCCAATTGACGTTTGTTCACCTGGTACCGCCCACCGATACGTGCATATTGTCGGCGAGAAACGGCTCGTTCGTTGAAATGACCAGAGTTGGGTGAGATTTTTGTTCTTTTTTTTTCGTACGTATTTTAAATTTACGCGCATCGGTGCACAAACAATTGGGTATATTTGTTATACTTTCAGCGTTGCCAGGGTAAGAGAGACGGGCCTGCGCTCGAGATTGATCCAGAAATGGGCGGCGAGGACTCCACGATGCCGGACCGACATCGTCGTCATCGCTCCGTTGACCATCTACGAGGTGGCTCCGGCCTTTCTGGTGCTTGCTTTCGGCGCCATGGTGGGCGTTTTTATGTGCGCTCTCGAGAAAACGGTCGCGGAAACGCGCCGTCGTGATCTAGCTTCGTTGACAAGCACTGCGAGAGCGAAAATTCGATTTTTAAAAATTATCCGCAAAAACAATGCTCGCTGATCTTGCGCAAATCTCTACGTTACACGTCGTTACGTCACTATGGGCGCAAAGTACAAATTTGAGCGCCCGAAGGATCCTTTGTGCTTCAGATCATCGATGTGTATAAATAGAACCTCGGTAATAACATGTGGATGAGGGGCCTAAGGTTCGCTTGGATGCAAAGAAAGAAAGTTATAGGGAAAGAAGTTAATTTTCAAATGCTTCGTAGTGAAATAAAACGGCTCTTTTAATGATTTATCTAATTTATCCCAATACTTTGTTATGCATACTCTTTTCCGTTATTTTTAAAATAAAAGCGATTGGTTTAAATTTTCATCCCATGATAAATTTAGCAAATTTTGAACGTCAATTTTTCATTGCATTGAGGTTAAGTCAAACGCCAAGCTAAAATCCATTATCATCAAGAGATGTGTTGTACATTTATAATATAATGTATTTGATTAATCTTATGAAATATGTAACTCTCTGTTTACTTTGTCGATTATTTATCATTATATCATGTTTCGTTAACTTTCTCGTTGTCACCGGTTACTTACCTGCACTATATGTTGTACACGATTGAATGACGCGCTCTGTGCATTGATTGGTCTTTCCGACCGAAATGATTAGCCAATCACAGCGTTGAAACAAGTGATCGAGATATCGAAGAGTCGTCGAGATCTCGATGATCTAAGAAGTTCGATTGATCGAGTGTGCAGTATGCAGGTCCAAACTTGAAAATTGCACACTGTGTATTACACAGTACACACACACATGTGTACCCTAACCCCCTTCCCCACTTAATTATTAATGATTATTTCAACTCGCTCAGTTTGCATTGTGTCTTTATAATTATCGAAAATTATTCTTAAAGGTGAAATGACAGTGGTACGAGAAATAAATTCATGTGCTTAATTGGAACCCACCTAAATTGCGCTAGTACAAATATATTGAAGCCGCAGATATATTTTTACATCCGTGTAATGTATCGCGTATACAAGAATAAAGTGCGTTAAAAAAATGGCGAGACCACGTATCAAGCGGATACAAAAAATCGTGCGAAAAAAAGAGATCGTTAATCAGGATGATAGCTACTTAGTCAGAAAACGTCGGAGTTCCTTGCGAGTGAACCTCAGTTTCGTGTCCAATCTGTCAGACACCGAAAGAACCCACAACAACGATGACTACGACAACGACGCTGCGGTGGATTGGTCTGGTGCGCAAAACGATAAGGTACTGCAGGTGGAAACTCCGAGTAAGATAAGAAAAATTGCCGTGATCCATCAGGTAAGTGAAGACACTGCGACGACGCCTGGGAGCGTTGGAAATGTTACAGTCATCGACGCTGCCAACCGACGTCCGCTATCTAGTAACAAAAACAATGTAAATAAAAAGTCAAAAGAAGCCCGAAGCAATACTCGGATAGTCATAGAGGAAAAGGAGCTGCAGCTCAACAAAAGCTGCATGCAGCTCAAAGATGCCATTATGAGCAAAACTAAAGCTCTCTTTGACGAGGAGAATGAACTTGCCATCAAAACTTCGGAAATTCTGACAGGACACTCGCCTATAATCGCAGAACCAGAGCTGGATGAATTGCGGGATCAAAGAACGCCGAGTGTTAAGGTAAACATTGGTAAAAATCAACAGATAGTCATGTCAGGAGATGGTAAAAACAAACATCCAGTTGAAGTTAATGCTATGAAATGCCAATCTAAAGAGAAAGAAGCTTTGTTGTTGCATAAAAATGATGGCAGTGACAATGATGACTGTTATATGGATTGTAATCAGAGTATAGTAAGCACACCAAAGAAAATAAGGCTTAGTGACAATGGAAGTAAAAATGATAAATCCATTAGCAGAATCAGTGACACTGGAGCTAGAATTCCAGTTGCAAGATTATTTGTTAGTACGACTGATTTCAACAGAACTGTATCAGACTTGCATTTAGTTCAAAGTTTAAGCAGTCAAAAGTTGAATGAGCCAAACGAAGCTGACAAGAGTAGTAGTGAAAAAGCTGAAAAATCTCTTGTATCAAATTTTATTAACCAATCTGGGAGTCCAATTCTAAGTCAAGGTAAGAGATCTAAATTTTCTCTAACTCTTAAAAAGAAACTTACAAGTACTTCATCGGAAGAAAGCTTTCTTAACAAACAACCTTTGATTTCGTCTTCGCTCATTGAAAAAAAAAGTGATTCAGACAAAAGTTGTCCTACAATATATGTAGATAATAGTAAAGATAACAGCAAAACCATTAACATTGATGATTCTACAAGTAAATCATGCATGGAAATTACCACAATTTCATCTCACATGCCAATTGTTCGTAGATCGTTTCAAAATGAGATCCGCAAATCATTAAAACTTAATAGTATCAGTATTTTGCAGAATGATTCGCAATTGAGTACTCAATTGAATAAAAATACAGGCAAAAATAGTAATTTACCTGTAGTTGAGAAAGCTCACAGCAGTAATGATTATCAGGAAGATTGTAGCGTCAATACTATAAGAACATCGCTCAATGTAAATACTTCGCTTGATAGAATTACTTCTGTGGACAGTATTGCACAGAAAGAAAACAAAACACCAAACAACTCGACAAGCACTGAAATAAGCTCTAAAAATCAGGTTGAAGAAAACAATACAACGACGGTTCAACGTCAAAGTACATTTATTATTCCTACTGCAAAGCCTAAAAAATCTTTGTTACTCCCTCGATACTCAACGAAAAACAAGCATCAAATGGAAAAAAGAAGTGATAAAATATCTGGTAGCCCAAGTACAGATTACAATAAACAAAACGGAAACAGTAATGTAGCATGCCAGAAATCAAGTCCTACTAATAATCAAGAAAAAGGAGACAATGATAAAATAATATTATCAAGACAGCCTAGTATTAGCACTGTGAGATCTTCCTTGCAAGTAAATACATCCTTGGATTCAGTCAGAAAGTCACCAGTTGCTCACAATGTTTTGGACTTTAATAAGATGGTGACAATGATAGAAGAAACTACATCTCATAATAATCAAAGCGAAGTAAGTACCTATTCTTCAAACAATCAATCTTGCGATAGTGATGATGATCAAGAAGGTATATCTCTAATGGAGAGATTACGGAATATTTCTAAATCCAAGAAAAATGAGTCCAGGGAACCAAGCCCAAAAAGTAAATCTAAATCTATCAGTGACTCTAAGAGAAAAAAAATTCTCGGTGTGGATGGCACAGATTCCAGTGTAAAAAGACAATCTACCAATATTGAACATGTTCCATTGTATAATACAAGAAAATCTTCTAAATCTAGATACAGTCGCGCAAGTACATCAAGAAAATCCAGAAGATTTGGGAACATGAGCAACGAGGCTAGTATTGTTGAAACAACTCCTTATCCTGCTAGTCGTTCTCTTTTACTGAAAACAATCATCAAAAACAATATTGCAATGAATACCATAGATCCTAAAAAATTCATTGATTTATCAGATAACAATGATTACAATGATGAAGAAGATGATGTTGGTGATGATGGTAGCAATACAAACTTTGACGTGCAAACAGTTCATCACAAGACACAAAAAACATCTTCAAAAAGGTAAATAATTGTAATTTTCCTGAGTTATTCATATCATTTTTTTAGTTTCCTCTTAATAAATACCATCGTTTATTCTAGGAGTAAAAGTATTCGTCCAAGTAAAAAGCCGTCAAGCCCTAGATTGATGGATACAATTCTTGTTTACTCATCTGATGAATCTTCAAATGAATCGGAGCAAGACAAAAAACGAGTGGTTATAGAAGAATCTATAAACGTGACGAAAGTTCTTGATAAATCAAACAAAAATAAGAGTATCAAAGAAAAATCAAATAACAAATACAAATTAAAAAGAAACAACAAACTCGGTAAACAGCGACAAAACGAAAAATCAGCAAACAAGCGTAAATTATATGCGTTACGAGATAACTCGTTAATTTCCTTCTCTCCCTCTGATATACAAGAGATTAGAGAAGACCCAAGACCAAGAACAATAAAACGGAAGACTAAAAAACGCCATGCATCGTTAACGAAAAAACCAGAAATTGTTGATGAAAATAAGTCATTAATTAGTCCGGAACTCTGTTATGAGAATGAACCTGAAGAAATCGATCCACAACAAGTAGTAAAGAAAAAGAAACAAAGGAAAAGGTTAAGGAAAAAAATTGTTGTCAAAAAAATAAATTCAAGGTTATTAGATAATTTGACGCAGGACGAGGATCGACGAATTCAAAGAATGACTCAACGAGATTCTATGAAAGAATTTGACTTGAGAAATATGTTGAGAAAAGATAAAAACCGCCAAAGCCACAGGATTGTTATTGTTGTCACTGGACTGCCACGAGGGTGTGTAAAATTACTTTTATCATAAATAGCAATGAAATCTAACAACAGTTTAAGCATTTTTAGCATAAATGCAATTTTGTTTCTTTATTTCAGAGATAAGGATTTGGTTAAATCTGTGATAAAAGCCTTGGGCTCTGCGGTTCTGGAATTAAACGTAACACCTCGAACAACGCATGTTATTAGCACGGGTGTGCGCACGATAAATTTATTAAAAGGTATTTTGCGAGGCTGCTGGCTTTTAAGCTTAGAATGGGCTCTCAAATCGTTAGAAAGTGGAAAGTGGTTAGATCCAAGTCCGTATGAAATGTCGCATTTTGCGAAAGCGGTGCAGGTAAGATTATTTTAAAAGTTGATAAATTATATTTTATTGAAATGAGAGATGATGTTTATTTATTTTATTTTGTTCTCTTAGGAAAACCGTAAAGATCGGCAATTGTTTGGAAAAGCTTATGTGCCGGAATTATTTGTTACATGTGGCCTAATTTACATCGAAAATGGAACATCACCTCCGGCACCAGTACTAAAAGAATTAGTTAAAATAGCTGGAGGAAGAATCACGGAATATTCCGATCTAGCCGATATTGAAATAGGTCCAAATGGATTAAAAGAAATTTGGATTCTCGATTCAATCACAACGGGTGAAGTACAGTCCTTTGAGCAGTACAAAGAAAATTAATTTAAGAGAAATTACTAATATTTATCAAAAACTTTTTTCTTTCTTTTTTTTGTGCTTTGAAAAGAACTACTAATTCAATAGAAAAAATGTATGACACGATCAATGATCATGTTCTGCAAATGTTAAATATTTATATCTATCGGCAAATTGATAATAATAATAATGTTATTGAAATTTAAATTATGCTCCTCATCTAACATTTGACTCTTGAAGAAGAAAAAATCTTGTACAAAGTATGAAGTACAGTATTTTTTAGTAAATGCAAGGTTCAACACTTGTAGATTTCTTTTTATTTTTAAATGAAAATATCAATAGCTTGAACTACTTTTATTAAAAATGTTTACAAAAAACGCAATGGTGATTTTTAAACATTATCCATTAACTTTGCGTTAAATAGATTTAAAAATTATTTACAGATTTTAAAAAAAGATAAGAAAAAAAAACCATTTTATGTGTAACAAAATCAGATTTTTCAAGTCATGTTGTAATTTTTTTAAATATGCTTATGATCACATGAATTAGATTGTAAAGCATACTGTGGTTTGATTTTATACAATCAAACTATTTTATTTTAATTTTACAAATTTTTTTCGAATCGAAAAAATAGGATCCTTCGACCATGCATGTGTTTGTATTTTTGTTATATACATTACGTTTAGTAAATCTGTTAAAAAAATGTAGAGTTAGAATATTTTAAGGCTGATCTCGTTAATGTTACATAGTCTACGTTTTGTATTTAATAATCTAAAAATACACAAAAATATTTTAATCATAAAAATCAGTCCTAGTGTTATTCAACAAGTTAAAAACTTGATAAAGTCTAATTCTTGTCGCTCTTAAGTAAACATTATAATTAAGTTTATACGTGAAAATATTTATTCTTTTAAAAGATGAACTAATTTAATTATATTCCTTGTATAGTATTTGTGTAAATAAAATATAAAAAATTCCACTTGAACATCAGTGTTATTAAAATTTTTGACCCTTACCTTATCACACAATAAACAAGTTAACCATAACAGTTTCCCGTTTGTTTAATATTAAAAAAAAAATCAAAAAAGTTTAATCAGAGAAACAAAATGTTCTTATGCAAGATCCATTTACACGTTCAACTTGTGAGATGTACATTTCGTCATTGTTATTGTTTTATCTCACAATAACTCAAAAGATACAGGTATTGCGAAAAAATAAGGCTCCTCACATAGGCTTGTAGAAATATCTCTACAATCTCTTCATGTTAAAAAGCAAAACACTCTCTCGCTTGGGAAACAAAAACACCGAATCTTTATTTATTTTTAAAAATAAATAAGAGAGTCAAGCTTATGGCATTTGCGCAATCAGTTGATTTGGGCAAAGAAATTACATGGAAAAATCGCCGACAATTTGGTCCATAGCAACAGTAGGAAGTACCTCAAGTTGGTGAAAAAATGGGGAGTACAAATAAAGAAGCCTTATTTTTTTTTTACAAAGTTGGTGACGAACAATCGCTGATGAGGGATGCTACTTAATACTATCCTTGTAAACTTGATATCAGCGACAAAATCTCTAAAAATGTTAGATTCGTGTTGGTGAGCAGCAGCAGTGAGTAATATTTTTATCAAAACAAATTACAAGTGTTGTCGACTTGACGCTTTGAACTGTGTAAGAGAAGAATCAGCTCTTGGAAAGCTGCATTTAATTAATGAAATAACGGCCCTAAATAGAAGATGCTTTATTTTAATAATATAATGAGTATTCGCAGTACTTTGAATCCGTTTTTCTTCTTTTATTTTATTTTTTTTCATCTAAAAATCGTTTTGAAGTAAAATTATTTCTTGTAAAAAAAAAAATTTTTAAGCTTTTTGTTAAATCAACTATCTTTTACGTCTTGAAGCTACAAAATAACAAAAACGCAACTTATAGTTACGTAATTGATTATTCATCGTCTCTATTATTGTAAATGCGTATATACTTGAATGAAATTACGAAATAGTATTTCACTGTGAATCTATGTGTGATGCGATAAGACAAGATCAACAGCACAAGCCAGTCAGTCGAGTGATTTTTACCAAGAGGCATAACTAAAGGCTTAGATCATTTTCCTAATTATATGTCTGTACATATAATGACTATAGATGCTGGTAAGTTAACATCCACAATGTCTATGTCTATCTCTATGCTAGTAATTGTATTTTTTTCTCTACTCTCTTGAACAAATCAACAGTATAGGAGTCCCAAATTTAAAAAAAGAAAAGAAAATCATGTACGTTTCGAGAATTGTTGTACAAAAAAAAAGACGAAATTTGCGCGTGTGCTTGCATAACAACAAATTTGTAAAAAAAATCCATACGCTGCTTGTTTTCACGATCCTTTCTCTTGGACCATAAAACAAAAGGTGCTCCGGAAGAAATCACGGCAGTTGTATAAAAGCAATAATATCGTAAAATTTCTATCAGGCAAAAATAGAAACGTCGTAAATCCAGGTCAGCGCTATGATGAAAAAAAAAAGGTGGCAATAGACGTCGCGTTACTACTTACTCCTTTTTTTTTTCTCGCGCAACATGATTTCACGTTATCGCAAAATAAATGATAAGGTACAGCTGTGCCGTGTGACTTTGAATTTTTTTTTTTTTTTTTAATTATTTCATACGTCAAACGTATTTATGTACACACGTATGCTCGATTATTTTTATCACCAAATGAGTTGAATTGCAGAACGAACAGCGAACACTTTATACCTATACACATGTACACGCACCCAAAAATTGTTAAAATAAGTTTTTTCGGATGGTAGGTATATAATTTCGTTGTACTTTAAGTGCCTTTGATTTTTTTTCTACTAAGCGTCTATAGGCATATGCGATTCCATACGATAGTTCTCGGAGATAACTTATCGCTGGTGTAAAGTTACGTGGATTCCTTAAACACTCGGCTTAGCTATCACATCATTGGATCATTGGTTGCAAATGTGAGGTACGTAATGTAACTATACGCACCTCTGGATACGTTTATGTGATGCCAGTAAAAAAGAATTTCATCGTCTGTTTTTCTTACCGATGGTCTTTTTTTTATATTATTACTGTTTCTTCCATGTCGGTTCAATATTTCACGACTTGCGTTCAAGGCCGAATAAATACTGGAAAAACTTGTAGACTATGATTTTTCTAAAAAAAACAACAAAAAAAAACTTTTTTTAGACTCCCCGACGAAAATATAATTATCTGCTAAACTGTCACGAGTAACTCTATAAATAGTCGTGTATTTAACTTTTTTCGAGAGTTTATATATTTGAGAAAAAAAAGCTGGTAGACCGATGATTTATTTCGGAGCAGTAAAAGAAAAACCGGTTTTTTTAAAGCCATTTGAAAGGAAGTAAATTTGGGATTTACCCAACAAAAAAAGAGCCTCAATTTCTATTGATCAGAGGCGCGCACATACGAGTTACATATGAGTAATTACACAAAAAAAAACTCCAATCAAAAGTCCTGTGAGAGAAAAAAAATTTTTTAGGCACATCTTTGGGACAAAGATACACGTACCTTGTGTTCACTACGTGAAATAAGTTTTAAAAAATTATTTCTTCCCAGGAATTCGAGATAACTGAAAATGTTTCCTTGAAACAATCTATAATACTTTTAAAAAACTTGTAAAGGGTAAAAAAAGTGTCAATTTTATCTTGTGTGATTTTTCATCGTTCATTCCTCAGCCAGAAAGCGATGAATTCCCAAGCATTAGATAGAAAATTTTTACTTTTGATCGAACGCATGGGGTTGCAAAGAATTTTTTGATTTCAAGTTAAAAAAAAAAGTGTTGACAAAACTTTAGTAGGTAATTATAATATACTACATCTTACATGTTTGGATACATACAAAAAACTTACTGTAAGTATATGAAAATGTCAAAAGGAATTAATATGCATGCAAATTTATACTTAGAAAACGATCCCATCAATAGAAAAAAAAAAAAAAAAAAAAAAAACTCGAGAAAGATATGTTGCAAGTACAGAATGTGTACGTATAAAATATACGTTTAGTAGAAAAGTGTAAAAAATTATGTCGTAATCTTAGGCATGAAACATAGATAACTAGCATATATTATCTTTAGCTATTTTCACTGAATGTAATTGTTAGTTTTAATGAAAAAATATATGTTGTTTTTGATATTATTCGTCAGATAAATTTTTACAACAAATCGAGGGCTCAAAAAAATCCCCGACCCAGACAGACAAGTGGAGAAATAAGTAAGTATGCATGTGCATATTATACGAAAGGGAAGGGGAATTTGACGCCTTTTGACGTGCGCGCAAATTCGTTTCATTTTATTATTTTTTTCTCCGAGCAGTTCAGCAGCGCCACTACAGGGAGTAGTAAACACTCGAGAGATCACTCTATAAGTAGAGAAGAGAGGCGCAAACATGCCAGTGTGAATCTATTGAAATACTTAGCCTAATTTTATAACACACTTATTTTAACATATCAAAAGTGTTCGTCCATTTTGTTCGAATTGAGTGCAGAGTAAAACCTATACAAGCCGGAAAGTGATGTGTACTATATTAATGTACCTGCAGCCCATCATTACCTTACAGGTACTGACAACATAAGGCAGCAGAGCGTTGGGTGTACAACAACATACATACCTATATATACTTACGTGTGTAAAACGATGCGTCAGGACAAGCAGCTACGACAACAGCAGTATTTCAAAGTCGATATTACTACCATCAGCAGTTGTTGCTTTAATACAACTAGCAGCAGTACTCTGTCGACATCGTCGTCGTCGTCGAGAGCAGTAACATCAGCGGCGCTATGTTATTGTGTTATTGCCGACATCGTTTAAAACACAAATTCAACATCAGTTAATAGTTGGTGATACAGTTGTGGCTTTTTATTATTAATTATTGAGAAAAAAGAAAGCTACAAAGTGTTTAGTGGTAGTAGTGGTGATGGTGTTTGTTGTTGTTGTTTTTGTTGTTAAATAATAGTGAGGTGTTGTAGCAAATTATTTTAAAGATCCTCCCAAAGAGGAGAGAAAGGAAGAAAACAACAACAAAGAGAAATAACACACTCCAATTATGGGCGATTTCTACAAGTGAGTATACCTATATGTAATTAATAATTGTTAGAGACTGCTCAATGTCGCGTACGCGAGTTTCTAGCCTCACCGCGAATCTCTCACATGTAGGTATCAAATTGGGAATTCTTCTATTACTCAGTAGGTTTATTATTTAACATTGCTGAGGAGCCATATGACACTTCGCATACGCGACATCGAACGTGTATGCACAAAACTCCAATTGTTATTCATCAGCTTGATTATCTACGAGCTCCAAAGCGTTCAGATAAAGAGAGCCTCCATAGTTAGATGTGCAGGGTGTCTGTTTAATAAATAGTTAACAGCCCCTGTCTTTTTTCATTTTCCTCGCTACACTACTAAGTTGTCGAACGTTATAAATAACTATAACAGAAAAAGAAACGGCATTTACATCGCTCTACAAGACACTTTTTCGGCCTGATGCGCGCGGTCCCTCATGCGGAAATACCAAAGAATTCGTTTAGGAGCAATGCGCGTTTTTCTCCAATGCAAAAATTTACGTTAATGCACTCGTTGAAAATCGAACGTTATATACGGTATTATACATATATTTGCAGATATATATCGCGTAGTCTCAGTTTAATTTATCCCATCGCATTACAGTACACATTATTCGCTTTATCCGAATAGTAGTCATATTATTGTAATTACGATTGTGGGGTATTAAATTATAATTTTGTTTTTTATGAGGATTGGTTGGAAAAAATCGGTAAAAAGTCTTTTCACAAATTTCGTCCCAAAATTCCACAAGCGGGTATATCGAACCCTTATCCTTGGAAGTGTCCGTCAAGTGGAAGATTACAAAATTTTCTCTTCATCATTATTATCTTTCCAACCTATTCCAACCGCCACCCGCAGCAGGCCTCCTTTCGCTTTTCTTCTTTTCTCCCCACCAACTCTTATAATAATAATATTACTTAGCTCTCCTTCCAGTTCTCGACTCGGCGTTGTTCTCTATTCGTCTCACACATCATGATTCATGACACATCACATGCTGTACACTTAGCTGACACTCTTAGTCGTCTAATCGTATGCTTTTTTTTTTCTTTGTAAATACCTACTTGGAAATACAATAACAATATGATTCGATCGATTGCAACCAATACATCATGTTCATGTTAAATGTACAGCAGTAATTAAAAAATAACAGACATTCTGTTCTGTGGCGCCTGCTGTTGTCTCATCGATGCACCTTGCGCCCCTTCGTTTTTGTTTTGCCGATACTTTAAATGTAGTGCATTATATACACCTACTTACGACATTCGATGTAAATTGTTTCCTCTTTCGGTGCACCGCATCAGCTCTTCTGAAATGGAAAGTAAAAATTAAATTAAATTTCGTCACGATTTCCGACACGAATCTTAAGTAATTATGTTGCTGCATTGAAACTGCTGAAGCCAATGTCGAAAAGAAAAATCGAGGTTGAATCGATTTCATGACGTAAACTGCTTGGAATTACTAAAATCCAAAAGTATATTGTATTTTTATTTACTTATTGGGTTTTGACACTTAGTCACCGGTTGCTCCAGTTTCTCACGATCGCTAAACCAACAATGTCACGGATAAGTGTGTTTATACCCCTGCTATACCTGTTCTTTTATTTTTTACTCCCTGCTAAGCCGTGTACTCTCGTTAATGCGATAGAAGAAAAAATAATTTCAATTTAAGCGATCGATTATGTCAATGGCCCTTGTTATCATTCGTAACAATTTATTTTATCTATACCTTTCGAATTTATTATTTGTTTTTATTATTGTAAGCGATAGTACATTGTCGCCACTTGGAAAATAAATAGATTACATCATCATTTTCCCGTGAAATCAACATGGATTCATAAATAATAAACACGTTTGACGTAAATACCTTTTTTTTTATTTTTTATTAATTTACTATTGTGTATTGATGTCATAAATGTATGGTTTTCTTTAAAAGCCCTTTTTTTTAGTAATTAATCGATTTATCTATTGATTTATTTATTTGAATCCAGTAACAGCGAAATCTCGGATCAGCCACAAGAATGTAATATCAACACAACAACCAAAAGAATATGGTTACTCACAGATGTATACAATGGAATACCTGATAATCTTTTGATAAATATATGCATGTTTTTGGTGAGTAACATTACATTTGCTTTGTTTATTATTTTCATAGTTCCTAACACGACATACACTTTTTGTGACAGTGTTAATGGAATTTGGTAACATGTTTTAATTTTCAGCTATTGGTCACGTTATTTGGTTTATTGCGTAAAAAAGCATGGAACTATGGTCGATTGGCCCTTTTACACAAAACAGAAAACAGATGGATGGAATTGTTTTATGGTGATAATGACACCAGAGATGCCGAAGTAGCATGTATAGAGGCATCTGTCAACTCACATCTATCTAATACAGATAGAGGCTTTTTATCATGGATAGTGACGGCTTTCCGATTATCGTTAGTTTCAAGTTAATTTCACTTGTCAGTTTTTCCTACAAAAATTTCGAAATCACAAAGAACCGAATTTTTTTTTTTTTAGAGATGACGAATTGTTAAAAAGAGCGGGTTCAGACGGATTACTCTATGTCTCGTTTCAAAGGCACTTAATTATATTGACTGGGCTAATGACGTTGGTTTCATTGCTGGTCATTTTGCCTATAAATTACAATGGAGATAAATTAATAAAAGATGGTGCCTTTAGTCGCACTACTTTGCCAAACCTCGCTCCAAATTCTGGTTGGCTTTGGGTACATACTTTCATACTCTTGTCTTATCTACCCGTTGGAGCCTATGTTATGAGGAAATTCATCAAAAAAGTAATCACCCTACATTTGTTTTTAATACTTTTATTTATTTGATATTTTATTATCGAATTATCAAACTTAGGTGAGAGATCTGAGACCAGCAGGAGAACTAGCAGCTAGAACTCTTTTGATAACAGAAATCCCAAAACATCAGTGTAACATAGACGGATTAACGGAGTATTTTAAGTGGGTGATAAATTTTTTTATAAATTGCACAGCTGTTACACATGAAACATATAACGATTCATGTAAACGTTTGCAGAGAGGCTTTTCCAACTTTAACAGTTGAAGATGTTACTCTGGCATATGATATCAAAGAACTTACGAAATTGGATGCAGAAAGAGACTGCGCTGAGCAAGCACGACTTTACTGCGAGAATTACAACAGAAGAAAAGCTCCATTAAAAATGTATCCCCACTTCTGTGGACAACTGGTTGGATGTTGTTTCAAACAGGTAACGTAGAACAAATTTTATTATTTACAAGTGTATGCCATAAATGATTCAACTTTTCGGCCTAAATTAATTTTGTATATGTATACTGACTTGAACGTAATTTTTGAATAATTTTAAAACTTATTTAATTTAGAAACAAATAAATGCCCTCGAGTTTTATACGACAGAAGAAGCGCGTTTGACAGCGCTCGTAGAAGAGGAAAGAAAACTTGCCTTGAAGAGGCCGATCGGTGTAGCCTTTGTGACATTAGGTACTTATAATGTATGCCATGAAAATGCTCAATTTGCATGCACACGTGTTGCCTTTATTTATTCATCATCACCTGAATCATGATCAACAACATTAAAGTTTCTGTACCTATTCTCATTGACATGCCTCTATGTTAATACTTTCAATGTTATTTTTTTGAAACGCAGGTACACCAGGTGCCGCGAGGACCATGCGACGTCAGCTGCGCACGTCGCCGTCGATCAAATGGACGGTCGATTATGCACCCGCTCCCGCGGACATTTACTGGGACAATCTATGCATTGCCAAGCCTTACTGGTACCTTACTTGGATTACCGTCAATATTTTATTGGGCATCGTCATGTTTTTTGTGACGACTCCAGCTGTAAGTTTAAAATGATTGTCATGTGTGTATGTTCGCCCAATGTAACGAATCATCAAATTATTTTAGGTCGTTTTGGCAGCGATGAAAGAGTTGCCATTCTTTGGCAACATCCAGAATCTGAATCCGTTCATGTCCACCTTCTTGCCGACGATTATGCTTGTCAGCGTTGCAGCACTCATGCCAGTTTTGGTTGGTCGGAGCGAAGTATTGATCAGACATTGGACGCGAAGTGGTCTGAATCGTGCAATAATGAGAAAGACGCTGCTGCTGTTGTTGCTAATGGTTTTGATTGTGCCGAGTGTAAGTTTGACGAGTTTCAAGGCCTTCTTTGAATGGACCATTAGGGGCGACAACAACAGCACGGCTCGATGGCGATGTGTCTTTTTGCCTGACAAAGTGAGCGTAATTTTTAACATCTCAGTTGAATTTTGCAAAAAAAAAAAAAAACGAAATTTTGTAGTTTCTAATGGTATTTTCAAAAACGTTTTTCAGGGTGCATTTTTCGTAAATTATGTGATAACGGCAGGCTTCATCGGAAGCGGGCTTGAGCTTGTTAGATTTCCCGAGCTGGCGCTTTATACCTACAGGCTTTGTACAGCCAGAAGCCGCGCTGAACGCATTTACGTGAGGAAAGCAGTGCTCTGGGAATTTCCGTTAGGCGCTCACTATGCCTACATGCTGCTGGTCTTTACCACGACCACTATGTACAGTCTAGCGTGCCCGATCATCACTCCCTTTGGACTAATTTATTTTCTAATCAAGCATGTAGTAAGTTCTATTATGATCAATTTCACTGGCTTTTATAGTTAAAAAAAAATGTTTTTATCATGTTTCTTTCAATGTCCACTAGGTCGATAGACACAACTTGTGTTTTGCTTATGGACCGAGCATTGGAGGGGGCCAGTTGTCCGGCACGGCTGTAAAAGCTACAGGAGCCGCGCCTTTAATTGCTCAAGTTGCGTTTCTAGCGTTGAATCTCGTGAGGACAAGTCTATCGCCACTGGCTGCGGTACAGTTAAGCGGCTTTGCCGCTAGTATATTAGGATTTGTTACAGGGCTGACTTTGCCAGCTTCTAAACCTAAGGTAATTTAAAAATACTTAGCACTATGATGCATTTTGGTTACATTTTCAATATTAAAAATTGATAGAAATGAAAATGAACATTTTTTTTACTTAATTTAATTTTATCATTATTTTCAGAGCCAGAATTTCAAAAGAGATTTATCAGCTGGTCAACACTTTGTTGCTCCGGTATTACGTAAAAGGAGGGTTATTGGCTGCCCAGAGGAAACTATTTCAGTTTCTACAACTACGCAGAGCTCACCAAGTACGAAAGTTTATACAACATCCTCTTCCACTCATGGAAGTCCAAAATTATATCAGGATTACGGACAAGAACCGACAAACGTGTGACTTGTTTAGTTAATCAGGCTGTTTTTGTTTCCCCCCTCCCCTTTTTTTTGTTTTAATAGAAAAATAATCGATCGGTTGTATCAATCGGTGTCAGAAAGTATGAAGTGTTTGAATTATAAATATCTAACTTATTTAATCTTAGACATTGCTAAAATTAAATGAATGTTGTGAATAGGAATATTTTTACTCAGTAATAGGTGCAGATGATACAGGTAAGTGACCATGATGCTGGTCATTGATTCGTATCATTTTGATTCGTCAAAAATTTGATGTTTCACCTTGATTGTAGAAATGTAGTTGCAATGGATCGATATTTTACAAAAAAAATTTTTTAACCGTAAAAGATAATAATGAAATCATTAAAAGTACACATTAAATTACTGTACAATACCAGTTTCTATCAATTTTTTAAGCTCGGTTTTAATATTTCATTAATAATATGATTAAAAATTATTTTTACATATTTAATACAATTATAGGCAAAAACCTTTGTATTTATTTTCTTTTAATTATTTTAAATCACTGATTTCAAAGGGGTTGGCTTGTATATTATTAGACATTTGTAAACAGAAGTACCTGTTTAAGTTATTGAGATTAACTCTAGATTTGTCGTTATGTAGGCTCCCTGTTGTCTAGCATAAGCCTCGCGCGGAAAAGCGGCAATAGTTGTATATTCTTGAATGACGAATTGTTGTTCATGCACCCGGGACCTGTGAAAGAAAAGAGAAGAATACCGTGTAACAGAATAATGACGAAACAATAATAATAAAACCAGCAAACCTTATTCTCGTAGTAATACTCCTTCAACCATCTTTGTTGTGCATCAGTAATAAACTGATGAATTATTTGGGAGGGTTTGGAGATGTCGTATAGTGCCTGAGACAAGCTGCAGACCAAGACCGCATTTTAAAGAATGTTCTTGTCATGCTATTTCATCTTGAATCCACAATTCGCACATTGAAAATTTAGGCTTGCCCTTGAAGTTGAATTAGACCGCCCATCGACTATTTCACTCCGTTCCAATATACAACTATTGTAAGCAGATGGCAAATAGTGAGATATCCGTCCTTATGGTAGATCTTAAAAATAGAAAAATTTGTGTTCTTACTAAAAAATTTCATTGCTACGAATATCAAAAATTTATTGATATATTTATCATTAAATTTTCTGAGTGCTGCTTCAATAAATCGATACCCTGCGGTATTTTTGAATTTTTTACCGATTCCTTTCCTTTCGGGTGCAAAAAAGACATTTTTTAGTCTCCACCGACTCATTGGTTAACCAGACGATCAATCAGATCGTGTGCTTTAATTTGTATATCAACTTTGGTGGGACCAAATCTTTCTCCAATAACTGGGGTCCACATGGAAAAAATTCGAAAGCCGATACTTGGCAGTACTGTTGTTTTTGAGTAAGATAATGTTAGGAAACTGTTGCCCCAAAATTTTAGATTAAATTTATTGTCAATTTGATTGCGGGTAATACTTTACTGTTTATTTAATCGTTACTATGCCTCATGCAACTGTCTAATTTCAGTTCCTTAGAGGTCTACACTCGTTAGTAACTTTATGGTTTTTTTTTTTTTTTTTTTTTTTTTTTTTTTTTTTTTTTTTTTTTTTTTTTTTTTT